CTGGGAGTTGAAGTCCACAGCTCTTAAAGTTGCCAAGCTTGGACAACCCGGATCTCAAGTCTCCAAATGTGCTCACGTGGCCGGAGGCGGAGCGGCCATCAAAAACTTGGAATCCAGGTCGTATCTTTTGCGAGAGGGTCCACGCTAACTTCCGGCCAGTCATAAGTGGAGGACTCTTGTAAAATCAGTCGTAAAGACGCGGCTTTTTTCGGGTCTTCCCCCTTTAATGGAGCTGTCTTCCCCCCCCCCCACCCCGTGGCAGGTGGCAGAAGGCATGGCCTTCATCGAGCAGAGGAACTACATCCATCGTGACCTCAGAGCCGCCAACATCTTGGTGTCGGCACTCCTGGTGTGCAAGATTGCGGACTTTGGCTTGGCCCGTGTGATCGAGGACAACGAGTACACCGCTCGGGAAGGTAACGAAGCCCGTACCCTTAGTGTGTGCATCCTCCACGTTGATGGACAATGTAGATTTGACTTTACGCCTTTCCTCCCCAATTGGAGCGCCTGGAGATCAGGGGTCCTCAAATTTGGCCACTTTAAGACTTGTGGACTTCAAGTCCCAGAATTCCCCAGCCAGCCATGCTGGCTGGGGAATTCTGGGACTTGAAGTCCACAAGTCTTAAAGTGGCCAAGTTTGGAGAGTTGCTGACTGGGGAATTCTGGAAGTTGAAGCCTCTTCTTAAAAACCTGCCAGTGATGGAGCACCCACGATTTCTGGTGGCCAGCTGTTCCACTGGTTAATTGTGCTCACTGTCAGGACGTTTCTCCTTAATTCCAGGTTGCTTCTCTCTTTGGTCAGTTTCCAAGCATTGTTTCTCGTCCTTCCCTCTGGTGCTTTGGAGAATAGTTTGACCCCCTCCTCTTTGGGGCAGCCCCTCAAATACTGGAACGCTGCTATCACGTCTCCCCTATTTCTTCTTTTCTTTAGACCGGCCAAATCGAAAGTCCCGCAGCCGTTCTTCGTATGTTTTAGTCTCCAGGCCTTGGATCATCTTAGTTGCTCTTCTTTGCACTTTTTCCAAGGTCTCAACATCTTTTTTTGTGATATAGTGACCAGAATTGCTTGCAGTATTCCAGGTGTGGTCTCCCTAAGGCGGGACTCGAACCCAGCGTCCCCCACTCTCTGCCTGCTACCTTCAGCACGAAACCAAACCGATAACATTAGTTGTTGCCAGCTGCCGTTTCCAGGCTCAATCTAACTATCTTGTTTTTGGATTCTGGGCAGGTGCCAAGTTCCCCATCAAGTGGACAGCCCCTGAAGCCATCAACTATGGGTCCTTCACCATAAAGTCCGACGTGTGGTCCTTCGGCATCTTGCTGATGGAGATCATCACCTACGGGCGGACCCCGTATCCAGGTATGTAGCAGGAAAGCTTGACCTTGCCTAGGAAACGGTCAAGATGGCCTCCCTTCTTCGGTTTAATCCAGCAAGACTCTAATAATAATAATAATGATAATGATAATGATGATAATGATAATGATAATGATAATGATAATGATAATGATAATAATACGAGAAAGAACTGGAGAAGATGACAAAATACAGAGACCTACAAATAGAAATAGAAAGACTGTGGCAAAGGCAAGCAAGGGTGGTACCAATAGTAATAGGCGCCTTGGGTACAATCCCAAAACAACTGGAGCACCACTTGGACACCATTATCGGCATTGACAAATTCGCCATTAGTCAATTGCAAAAGGCGGCCTTACTAGGAACTGCTTCCATCCTGCGACGAGATCTGTAATACCATCAAACATCCACATCTGCCTATCCCAGGTCCTTGGGAAGGACTCGATAGGTAGACAAAATGCCAAATCCAGTCTGAACATCTGGCTGACTGTGCGATGATCCNATTGACAAATTCGCCATTAGTCAATTGCAAAAGGCGGCCTTACTAGGAACTGCTTCCATCCTGCGACGAGATCTGTAATACCATCAAACATCCACATCTGCCTATCCCAGGTCCTTGGGAAGGACTCGATAGGTAGACAAAATGCCAAATCCAGTCTGAACATCTGGCTGACTGTGCGATGATCCATAATAATAATAATCATCATCATCATCATCTATATCTATCTATATAAATAAAAATGTAAATGTTCGTTTGTTCAAAATCTTAAATCTCCAAAAGTTCTCCACCGATTGCTTTGAAATTTTGACACAACGTTGCATTCGAATACGCGCGTGTTTCTATATACCTGTATTATATAGATGTCACACCTGTGACAGGTAAAAATATGCTTTTTAAAAAAAACAGCACCATCTGTTGGACGCTTTGAAATTGCCATTGAACATGCAATTCATTGAAACTCCCACGTGCAACATTTCCAAAGCATCCAGCATGAGAAAAGTATTGCAGAAATGCAAACTTATTGTTTGGGATGAATGCACAATGGCGCATTGAGACTGAGCCACAGCAACACGTGGCCGGGTACAGCTAGTAGTAGTAGTAGTAGTAGTAGTAGTAGTAGTAGTAATAATAATAATAGTAGTAGTAGTAGTAGTAGTAATAATAATAGTAGTAATAATAGTAACAACAACAACAACAACAACAATAATAATAATAATAATAGTGGACGTGGCAGTGCCTGGAGACAGCAGAATAGACGAGAAAGAACTGGAGAAGATAACAAAATACAAAGACCTACAAATAGAAATAGAATGACTGTGGCAAAGGCAAGCAAGGGTGCTACCAATAGTAATAGGCACCTTGGGTGCAATCCCAAAACAACTGAGCACCACTTTAACACCATCATCGGCATTGACAAATTCGCCATTAGTCAATTGCAAAAGGCGGCCTTACTAGGAACCGCTTCCATCCTGCGACGATATCTGTAATACCATCAAACATCCACATCTGCCCATCCCAGGTCCTTGGGAAGGACTCGATAGGTAGACAAAATGCCAAATCCAGTCTGAACATCTGGCTGACTGTGCGATGATCAATAATAATAATAATAATAATAGTAATAACAACAACAACAACAACAAGAATAAGAATAAGAATAAGAATAAAGTTGGGACCTTGGAGGTCATCTAGTCCAACCCCCTGCTCAGGCAGGAAACCCTATAGCCATTTGTCTGAAATGGCTATAGGGTTTCCTGCCTGAGCAGGGGGTTGGATTAGAAGACCTCCAAGGTCCCTTCCAACTTTATTATTATTGATCATCACACAGTCAGCCAGATGTTCAGACTGGATTTGGCATTTTTGTCTACCTATCGAGTCCTTAACAAGCACCTGGGATAGAAGCTGAAGAAACAGGGGACCACCTGGTACACTGCTGCAAGAAGATCGCACAGACTGACTACAAGCAGCGGCATGACAAAGTAGCAACAATGGTGCATTGGAAGATCTGCAAGAAATATCATTTGCCTGTAAGCAAGAACTGGTGGGATCATAAAATAGAGAAAGTCATAGAAAATGATAAAATTAAACTGCTCTGGGACTTCAGAATTCAAACAGACACCTGCACCTACCACATAACACCCCGGACTTAACAATTGTCGATAAGAAAGACAAAAAAGTCTCGATAGTGGACGTGGCAGTGCCTGGAGACAACAGAATAGACGAGAAAGAACTGGAGAAGATAACAAAATGCAAAGACCTACAAATAGAAATAGAAAGACTGTGGCAAAGGCAAACAAGGGTAGTACCAATAGTCATAGGCGCCTTGGGTGCAATCCCAAAACAACTGGAGCACCACTTGGACACCATCATCGGCATTGACAAATTCGCCATTAGTCAATTGCAAAAGGCGGCCTTCCTAGGAACCGCTTCCATCCTGCGACGAGATCTGTAATACCAGCAAACATAGTTCCCCCATGCTGGCTCAGGAATTCTGGGAGTTGAAGTCCACGAGTCATGAAGGGGCCAAGGTTGCCTACCCCTGGTCTAGTCCATCCTCAGCCACAGTCAGTTTTGGTCAAGGAGGCCGATGGGGAGATAGGTGAAATAATATAATACACTGCCTTCAGCTGGGTCAGGAGTAGGCAACCTTGGCCCTTTTATGACTGGTGGACTTCAACTCCCAGAATTCCTGAGCCAGCATGGCTCAGCTTGGAAACCTCTCCCTTTCCCCTCAGCATGGCTGGCTCAGGAATTCTGGGAGTTGAAGTCCACAAGTCATAAAAGAGCCAAGGTTGCCTACCCCTGATCTAATCTGTCGCAAAAAGGCTCAAAAAAATATCCTTGATGAAACAATGCACGTTTTGTCCCTTGGAGAGGAAGCAGGTGGCAACACATGCCTTGCAACACAAGTACAAAGGGTGGCCACAAGTACAGATGCTGCCCCACACATTTCCCCATTTGGCTAAGGTTGCTTAGGAACGGACGTCTACAATCCTGGTGTACAAGATGGAAAGTCCCTTTAAAAATGTTCATACTTTTTAAAGTTTTCAGCGGAAAGAGGATTGGTTTGTAGGTCCTTTGAAAGCTGTTGAGACTCTAGGAAGAGTACAGAGAAGAGCAACAAAGATGATTAGGGGACTGGAGGCTAAAACATATAAGGAACGGTTGCTGGAATTGGATATGTCTAGTTTAATGAAGAGAAGGACGAGGGGGGACATGATAGCCGCCTTCCAATATCTCAGGGGCTGCCCCAAAGAAGAGGGAGTCAAGCTATTCTCCAAAGCACCTGAAGAAGGCAGGACAAGAAGCAACGGATGGAAACTAACCAAGGAGAAAAGCAACCTAGAACTAAGGAGAAACTTCCTGACAGTGAGGACAATTAACCAGTGGAACAACCTGCCTCCAGAAGTGGTGAATGCTCCAACACTGGAAGTTTTTAAGAAGAGACTGGACAGACATTTGTCTGAAATGGTATAGGGTTTCCTGCCTGAGCAGGGGGTTGGACTAGATGACCTCCAAGATCCCTTCCAACTTTATTATTATTATTATTATTATTATTATTATTATTATTATTATTATTATTATTATTATTATTATTATTATTATTATTATTATTATTATTATTATGCCAAGTGGACGACACCACAGCGTGTCCAGTGTGTACGAAACACACATTATTGCAGCACGCAATTTCCATAACAACAAGCTACTGTGGTGGGCCAACGTTCGCTCCTGTACGCTTTGCAAGGCAAAGTTGCCACCATAAATAGGATTTTAATATTCTGTTTCTTAAGGCTTCCTCTTCTAATTCTCATTTCCAACTGAGATCTCAGAATCTCTAAAGGAACACACCACCTTGGACTTTTCCCAAACGTTCTTGTACTACAGTCCTCGAGTTATGGACGTAATGGGGCCTGCCCAACATGGTCATATTCGTAATGGTCATAAAATGGTCATCATCTCTAGAAGGGAGTGGGGGCTTGCGGGGAGGAGGAGGAGGAGGAGGATGGGGTCCTTGGTGCTTTCTGAGACTGGCTGTTTTCTGGTAGACATTTCATGACCCAACTAGGGAACATCATCAGTGTTAGAAGGGAGTGGGGTTTGTGGAGAGGAGGAAGAGGAGGAGGAGAGGAAAAGGAGGAGCAGGAGGAGGAAGAGGACTGTGCAGTTCCTGGTGCTCTTTGAGCTGGGTGGTTTCCTTGCAGATGTTTCATGACCCAACTAGGGAACATCATCAGGGCTAGAAGGGAGTGGGATTTGTGGAGAGGAGGAGGAGGAGGAGGAAGCAGGAGGAGGAGGAGGAAGCAGAAGGAGAAGAAGGAGGGGAAGGAGGACTGTGGGGTCCTTCATGTTCTCTGAGCTTGGTTGTTTTCTTGTAGGCATTACATGCACTGATGGTGCTACATAGTTGGGTAACAAAACATCTGCAAGAAAATTACTAAGCTCAGAGAGCATCAAGGACCCTACAGTCCTCCTCCTCCTCCTCCTCCTCCTCCTCCTCTTCCCCCTCCTCTCTGCAAATGCCACTCCCTTCTAGCACTGATGACATTACCTAGTTGCGTAATGAAATGTCTGCAAGAAAACTACTAAGCTCAGAGAGCATCAAAGACCCTACAGTCCCTCCTCCTCCTCCTCCTCCTCCTCCTCCTCCTCCTCCTCTTCCCCCTCCTCTCTGCAAATGCCACTCCCTTCTAGCACTGATGACGTTACCTAGTTGCGTAATGAAACGTTTGCAAGAAATCAACCAAGCTCAGAGCACCAAGGATCCAACAGTCCTCCTCCTCCTCCTCCTCCTCCTCCTCCTCCTCTTCCTCCAACCCCTTCTAGCCCTGATGATGTTACCTAGCTGAGTAATGAAACGTCTGCAGGAAAACAATCAGAGAGCACCAAGGCCCCCACGAGTTCACGGCCAGCCTGACTGTGCCAATGATTCCGCTCCCTTTAGGACCCCTGACAAGTCTGCATGACGTGGTGTGTGTGTGTGTGTGTGTGTGTGCCTCATTACCTGCAGGAATCCCCTTCCCCATGTTCTCCTTTTCTCTTCTCTTGATATTTTCCGAGCTGGGTTGCGCCTCAGGATGTCCCACCCGTCTCCTTCTTTGCCCAATTCAGGGAGGACAAACCTGGAAGTGATGCGCGCCCTCGAGCGTGGCTACCGGATGCCACGTCCCCAGGGCTGCCCGCAGGAGCTCTACGAGATCATGTTGAGATGTTGGAAGGAGAAACCGGAGGATCGGCCCACCTTTGAGTACATCCAGAGCATCCTGGAGGACTTTTTCACCGGCACGGAAAAGCAGTACCAACAGCAGCCTTAGAAGGGATGCGTGGCTACCCCGGCGTTGCCAGCGTGCCTGCTGTCCCATGAGGCCAGGGAGGTGGAAGTTTTCGGCGTGGAGAATCTGTGGTTTAGAGGCCAGAGACTTTTTTCCTACCTGCAAATGTGGCTCATAGACTGGTTCGCAAGCCCAGTTGGGTTAAGAACTGAATGAAGCAATCTCTTTGCTCTTCGCTGCAAACGAATCAGACTGCAGTCAGCAGAAACCGCTTCAAAAAATGGAAGAGATTTTATCCTAATGGCTGTTGCGAAGCCACAGCATTATGGTGGAAGTTCCTGGGGTGTGTGTGTGTGTCATAGAAAGCGTGTGTCCGTACGAGAGAAATTGTGTGTGTATATATGAGGGAGAGAGAGAGAGAGAGAGAGAGAGAGAGAGAGAGAGAGAGAGAGAGAGAGAGAGAGAGAGAGAGAGAGAGAGAGANNNNGAGGGGGAGAGGGGGAGAGGGGGAGAGAGAGAGAGAGAGAGAGAGAGAGAGAGAGAGAGAGAGAGAGAGAGAGAGAGAGAGAGAGATATGAAAGATAAATGATAGAGATGATAGAGAGGGAGAGGAAAGAGAGAGAAAGAGAGGGGGAGAGGAAAGAGAAAGGAAAGAGAAAGAGAGAGGGAGAGGAAAGAGAGAAAGAGAGAGGAAAAAGAGAGAAAGAGGGAGAGTTAGATAATATAGAGATGAAAGATAAATGATAAATAGAGATGATAGAGAGAGGGAGGGAGAGGAAAGAGAAAAAGAGGGAGAGGAAAGTGAGAGGAAAGAGAGAAAGAGGGAGAGAGGGAGAGGAAAGAGAAAGAGAGAGGAAAGAGAGAAAGAGAAAGAGAGAGGAAAAAGAGAGAGAAAGAGGGAGAGAGAGAGAGTTAGATAATATAGAGATGAAAGATAAGTGATAGAGAGAGAGAGAGAGAGAGAGAGAAGGAGAGGAAAGAGAAAGAGGGAGAGAGGGAGGAAAAAGAGAGAGAGGAAAGAGAGAGGAAAAAGAGAAAGAGGGAGAGGGAGAGAGAAATAAATATATTGTGAACTCTGGATGATTAAGTTGGGATATGACTGCAGACAGTCCTTGACTTACCACCACAACTGACCCCAAAATTTATGTGGCTAAGTGAGACAATTGTTAAATGAGTGTTTCCTCACTTTACGACCTTCCTTGGCATAGTTATTAAGCGAATCACTGCAGTTCAGTGAGTAACCTGGTTGTTAAGAGAATCTGGCTTCCCCATGGACTTTGCTTGTCAGAAGATTGCAAAAGGGGATGCTGTGACCCCGTGACAACCGTCATAAATACGAGTCAGTGGCCAAGCGTCTTAATTTTGATCGCGTGAGCACGGGGGAATGCTGCAACGGTTGTTAAGTGTGAAAAATCAGTCATGAGTCCACTTTTTCCAGTACTGTTACAACTTTGAACGAATGCTTGTAAGTCGAGGAATACCTGTATATGTTTTGATTCATTAGTGGCCTTAGAAAAGCTTTGCCAACTGATTCCTAATGCTAGTTTCTCATTGCAAGACAACTAAACATGGAAGAACGTGAAATAAAAATGAACGTGAAATATGCCTAAATTTAACAAAGGTTTGATTCACTGCAGAGATCCAAATTAGGGATGACGATGAGACAATGGCAACTTTTTAAATCATTGTAAGCTATAAATGATAATTATTCTAACAGAATGAACAGTTAACTATTTTCAATAAAAATTAAAATTTAAAGAAAAATCAAAGTAGTCTTGGCTTTTACTTGGAATTGGTTATCACAGTTGTATCTTATCATCGTTTTGTATAAGATACAACAATTATCACTACTGTATTGTATCTTATGATTTATGATGATGGCATTTTATGATTATGATCATGCACCGGAGACAAATTCCTTGTGTGTCCAATCACACTTGGCCAATAAAGAATTCTACTCTATTCTATTCTATTCTGCTCTGTTAGTCTGTTTTGTTATCTATTCTGTTCTGCTATCTACTGTATTCTATTGTACTGTATTCTATTTTCTATTCTATTCTATATTATATTCTATTCTGTTATCTATTCTATTCTGTTATCTATTCTATTCTGTTGGAGAAGAAAGTCCAGTTGACTCATGAAAAAACACCTTTGGGATATTCTATTGTATTCTATTCTATTTTCTATTCTATATTCTATTCCATTCCATTCCATTCCGTTCCGTTCTATTCTATTCTATTCTATTCTATTCTTCTATTCTATTCTATTCTATTCTACTCTATTCTATTCTATTCTTTTATTCCTATTCCATTCCATTCCATTCTATTCTATTCTATTCTATTGTTCTGTTTCTGTTTCTGTTCCATTCCATTCCATTCCATTCCATTCCATTCTATTCTATTCTATTCTATTCTATTATTCTATTCTATTCTATTCTACTCTATTCTATTCTATTCTATTCTGCATTCTATTCTATTCTATTTATATTCTATTCTATTCTATTCTATTCTATTATTATCTATATTAACATCGCTTCCGTTGTTATATTACTCTTGCTTACAGATTGATTTCTAATGATTTGCTGATATGCCTGAAGATTAATTCTGTTTTTGCTTGGTGCTTTTCCAAACCACCAAAGAGACTTCATTTTTTTTCTTCAATAAGTCCTTATTTTTCATGAGAACCATTGTTCCACTCCAAATATCTCCCTTATTTTTATTTCTGTCTTCAGTAAGAAAACGCCTCTTCCTTTTTTGCCCAGGGACAAAACTGTCAAAGGATCGACGTGCAGCTATCTATATCAAATGCTAAATCTTGAAATCACATCTGAATCTTGGGAGAAATAGCTGGCTTCACACATTATACCAAGTTATGTACTGGATTGATTTCGCC